ACACATCATGGTAAAATCAATACATTCATCGCTCCACTCAGAATCTAAAAGAGAAGATGTCACGACCGTAGTACATTACACGAGCCAGATTATACGCATTGAAAGTGTGTAAATTTGCCCATTTTATTTAGCCAGGCCTATAGAGCTGATTAATGGACAGAATAGTCCGTTTGTGGTATCAATAGATCGGGCACGGTGTGCAGATTATACCTTAGGCGTTAAAAATAAATAAATGTTTGGAAAAAAGATTATCATTAAAATCATTAACGGCGTATGTTTTCAAATAAAATATACCTAGTTATAATCATAATATTTTAGATGAGGAAATCAACTTTAAATGAATGAATGTAGTAGGAACTTTAATTGGAGAACGAGGATTAAAACGAATATTATTTATATCGGAGATGAATAGAAAATATGTATATTATCAACTGAGTGAAGATATGACGACTGTAACTTTACAATAGAAAGCTAGYTATTTATTTTAAATTTTTTTATTGATCATAACCTCAGAAACTATGGCCATTATAGCTGTTTGTTAGGAGAAACATTTGATTTGGAATACGTAATTGCAGATTATATGAATAATAATATGTTGTTAAATGGCTTGTATAATAATGCATAGATTTTAYATTGTTATGAAAAATAAACGGATCTAGAGTAAATAACTATATGATTTGTAAAATATACAAGCGAATAATATGAATATTAGGCGATTATTTTATATTTTTTTTTTTAACGTTCTGCAGGAATTGTTCAAATACGCACAAATGTCGGAGCACAACACATTCCGTTAACTATAAAAATAACAACCATTTTGTTGTTTTCTTACAAAATGTGTTTGTGAATTCATAAGAAAAATACTAAAATTAAAAAAAAAAACATATAAACGAATTATACTTTATTATTTAAAAAAAATATTCAAAATCGATTGTTGCATTATATATGTATTTTGTAAAGTATATCCATTATACCCAATATACCCATTATATGTCCCTCTTMTTTTTTTTAGATTTTATTATATAGATTATTTTTTTCTAAAAAWTTAAGAACCTGTGCGRTGGTGGTAGCGTCCGATCCGAGAGCTGCGTCCAATGTGATGGGTACGTTTGAATTTCTTCATTCATCCGTAAATTATGGTATTCAGTGATTATGTGGCAA